TATTTAAAGTAAAAAAAAAAATACGAAAAAGTTGATCGAGAGAGACAAAACATCATTCTGCGATGCCAGTGCACGTCACAGAACACCGCATTGTCAAAAATTCCGGAGTCTTTCACTACGGTGTGCCTCATTTTCATATCGAGGTTTCAGCGCATAAAACCGCAGATATTTTCATTAACAAGCGTAGTTCTCGCTCAAGGAGAGAACGGCACATGTAGGTCTAAGAGATTTTTCAAAGCAAAGGAGCAACTCTTGACTCAAAAACGGTGCATTTTGTTATTGCGATGTAGAGATGCATTCATATCTAAACGGCCACAAAGAAAATAGAAGAGCACTTCAACTTAAAGGAAAGCAGTATTGAAGCCATGCGTGGAAAACGAAAGCTGTTTTTTTACTTCGAAACAGCAATGGCAAAAGGTTGCGCAGCTTTTGAGACTTGTTTGCCTCATTCTTTTTCATTTGTTTGCAATATTGGTACATACTTGCTCCTACATAATAGTGTCTACATTATGCTCCCTACATGCCCTGCCGCGGTGGTCTTGTGGCTAAGGTACCCTGCTGCTGACCCGCAGGTCGCAGGATCGAATCTTGGCTACTGCGGCTGCATTTCCGATGGAGGCGGAAATGTTGTAGGCCCGTGTGCTCTGATTTGGGTGCACGTTAAAGAACCCCAGGTGGTCAAAATTTCCGGAGCCCTCCACTACGGCGTCTCTCATAATCATATGGTGGTTTTGGGACGTTAAACCACACAAATGAAATCAATCAAAGTTCATTTCCGATTCAAGATATTCTTAATCTTGACATAAAGGGACCAGTAGCTGTTGCATATTGCAGAATACGCCCACCGATCTTGCTTTTCTCTCCGATGTGCTTTTGCTTATTATATTCGGCCCTAACTATTGGCATTTCCATGTGAGAATTTGACCTCTGTTGTAGTTTTGTGTCATGGAGGAAGGAAAGATAGGAGAGGGCATGCCCAGCCGGTGCGCTACGTGAGAAGTGTGGAGGAAATGACATCATGGCGGCCATATTCACTGGGCACAATGGCGGCGTTGCTATGGTTACGTGTTGCACAGTGGAGCCAATCTAGCAGTGAGCGGCCGCAGCTGGAGGCGAAATGTGTGCCTCCCCAGGTCTCGTGCTGAGCCGTGGCGGACAATATTCGTGCTCTGCGCCGCGTTATTGGTTATGCAGTGTTCTCCTGGCACTTGCTGTACTCTTAGCAGCGTTTACAAATCCTTTTGTCCATCACGGGGTTTCAACAGTGACGAGTGCATATCCATATGTTCTGCGGCAGATGAAGCAATAAGTAAGTGTTCAGCAAAATTGCGTTGGGCACCATGTCGAAGCGGAACGACGACGAATGCCTTGCAGGTCAGTGACCGTTGGGCAGTGCTCCTGCTTGTGACAACGGACGATGCTGTTGAGCCCAGCAAGACGCAATGAGGACCATGTGCACATACGTAGTTTCGTGTTGTGTGTGTACAGTAACAACTTGCATGTGCGTATTAAAACACCTTTTTTGTTCCGCTTCATATAGTCTTCCCCAGCATTGCATGTAATCTCAACGTAACAGCAACCACGTTCAAGTGTCACTTGCACCGTGCTCAGTCACCACGGTTGCAGAATGTTGACGCCGGTGAGTTTCACGCGGAACACGGACACAGTGAACGGACGCTGCGTTGGCCGCGTGGCAGAATGCAACCGTAGAAGGTGCACGACTGATATTGTTGTCTGTACAGTTGCTGAAACAGCTAGTGCTGAAGCACTAGCTGTTTTTAGTGCATCTAGCGCGCATTCTCTTGTAGTTGCTTCGTTGTCGGTGAGCTGTTACTCGCTGTTAATACTTGGACGAAATGATTTCGCTGAAGGTGTCGCGCTGGCCCAGAGTATTGAGCCTTTTCCCATTACTTTCGGATTGTCACGCCACGCGCACTGCGCAGCTCACGTGCTTACCAAGCCGGAGTGAGCCGTGACTTCTACTTTACATTTAGATGTATACAAGAGAGGAGAATTTGCCCAGTCAATATGGCCGACTTCCGGCTTCATCGCGGCTTCACATTGAGTGTTGTCAGGGCCTCTCCTACCTTTCCTTCCTCTGTGTTTTGTGTACATTTTCTGTGGAATCTGTAATAATTCAACCGCTGTAACTGCTCAGTGTGCGAGGTGGCCATGTTTCCCTCAAGCTGCTTAAAGCAGCTTTTTCGCCTGATCTCCTCACAACCTTGTGGCACAATAAACTCAATTCTATTGGTGGACAAGCTTTTTTTCTAATCACTAAGCATATTGTAACGTTGCGACGTCAGCTATGTGGCTACTGCGTTAGGCACGGCAGTCTGTAAATGACATTGTCTTGTCAATGAATATTCAGACAAGCTTGTTCGAAGAAAAAAAAATTTTAGACATGTCAGTTGCGCTACACATTCTTCGGTATACAAACAATTCTAAGCCTAAATGTCCATGTATGTATTGCGAGGAAGCGTTAAGATAGCAGCTGTTAGGGCGCGCTGCGCGGCGAGCGTTCAAATGTGTATGATTGCTCCTACATGAGAACTAAGGTTCATAATAGGGCGCGCTGCGTGGCGGGCGTTCAAATGTGTACGGTTGCTCCTACATGAGAACTAAGCGTTGATTATTTGATGGGATAAACTCCGACGGAGAGCTCGTTCAGTCATTTGTACCTGCCAAGTATCCCGGATTGTCCGGGAGATTCCCGAATTTCGACCGTTTCTCCCGTTTTACTGTTATGTCTCCTGGAAAGTGAACTTTTTGTGCGTGATCTGGCCGCATTAACACAAATACCGCTCAAGTTGCTCTTAGCCTTTTGCGAACCCACCACATTTTATTATAAACGAGTTTAGGAAGCGTTCATCTAAATGTACAGTTGAATCTCAGTGAATGTACAGTTGAATCTCAGTGATGCAAAACCGCGGCAGATACGAATTTGTGACATTCCCCGAGCGAAATTCCACTGTGTTCATTAGGCCGAAATTCGAATGTTCCGAACACTTTTTGTAATCGCGATGGGTGATACCGAAACGGGGGGGGGGGGGGGGGGGTACCTTCAGTATTTCGAAACTGTTGAACGAAGGTTGAGATCAGCAAGCTCGAAGCTTCGAAAGTACGCGTGCGACCAGCGCGCTCAGTCTTCTACAGTGTGTGTGGTTGTTGTTGCCACAACCGCTGTTGACATAACTGTGGTCTTTCTTGACATGATCATGCATGGTGACGACGTAACTGACAGAACTCCGAAAGTGTGTGCGTGTCCAACGCTCGACCGTCCAAAGCAACGCTGCTTTCCGCAAATTCTGCGGTCGAAACCGTGGCAGGTGCGAATGTAGGTAGCATTAAACGACCTGCATGTGCACAGCCAGTGCATGTGGATAGAAAACGGAACTGCTGTTTGCCGGAACTGCCGCGCACTAAACGGCAGTCGCAGCAACGCAATAACGGTCTACGAGCTTTGAGCGCATGGGGCTAACGCAGGCGTAGATTAAAGGCAAAAAAGACGCAAAAAAGGCTAGAAGCGTTTTGCTGTCCTGTCAAAAGAATCTAGTAGCGAGCAAAGCTTTCACCTGCACTTTCTTGGCAGCCATCTGTGCTGTCCCGTTCATTCATGTGTGTCCCAGGAAGACATATGCGAGTTGTTTTGACACAGATTTTGCTAGTTTTGATTCTTTGGGACTCTAACCTTAGTGGGAAACCCTATCTTCGTGTGTTCTGCCACTCCAAGCGGCTCTCCATAGAAAAAATGACCTAGACTTTTGCTGGCCCAACATGCATGGCCAACCTTGTAGATGGCAAGTAGTGCACAGATAGATTTAATTAGTTTGTACAAATGACCTTGTGCATTCTAGTGACAGCCAGCCCTTTCTCTCTCCACGTTGCGGAAATCTCCAGAATCAGAATCCTTGAAGTTCGCAGGCATGAGCATTAGTACTTGCAAAAGTGTTGCAGAGACCCATAAAGGGACCCTGCAACGTGGAAAAGGTACTGGTCCTGTCATTAAAGGTGCAGCAATTTGCTTATCTACCACCTCTATTGTGATGGTTGTATCTAGAACTAGTGATGATGATTTATTATGCATAAGTCATAATGATGAAAGGAAAGTACAGTAATGTTGATCTGTTTACTGTATTTAGTAAACAATTGAGCTTTGGGTAAATTAATTTTTGTGCAACTGAATTCATTTGAACGATTCTTCGAACAGAGTACTTTTTAGTCCAAGAGGTGTTAGTAGATTCCACTGTACTTTTGAAATGAATATTAAACATAGTATTCTGAGTTTAATTTATAACATTGAATACCACAAATGATCTTGTACTTGAAATGGAATTTTTGTGAGTTGCATCAGTGCTAATGTGCTGTAAAAATGTTCTTGTGCAGATTATCTCGCTATCAGCAATTCAAGGACTTCCAGAAGCGAATCCTTGTGGCCACAAACTTGTTTGGACGAGGGATGGACATTGAGAGGGTCAACATAGTTTTTAACTATGATATGCCTGAAGACTCGGACACCTACTTGCACAGGGTAAGTGGACCTCGCCACATCCCTGGAGCCTTGCAGCTCCTGCTTACCAAGTGAGACCAGCTATAAAAATTTTGCTTCTCTATTTCAGGTTGCTCGAGCTGGACGCTTCGGCACCAAGGGGTTGGCAGTGACATTTGTCTCTGATGAGCAGGATGCAAAAACCTTGAATGAAGTGCAAGACAGGTTTGACGTCAACATCTCTGAGCTGCCTGATGAAATCGACATTTCCTCCTACAGTATGTATCACTTTTCACCTGCACTCATTTCAGAAAGTGTGTGTGGTCATGTTGCTAATTGAAAATTTCCTATTTTCAGTTGAAGGCCGCTAAGCTCCATTGATTTCCAAGCACTTCCTGACAGCAGTGAAGGCCACTGAGCTTCATTGACTTCAAGAAACCACTGACGAGGTGTCTCATCACATCTGAAGATTTTTTTTTTTTTTTTCACCTTCAAAGTTATGTGCAGCATGTTTTTTTGTCCATTGTCATTTTATTTCATGACTCAACCCTGAAAGTACAGTGTTGATGAAAAGTCATCAGTGAAAATACACTTTGAAAGAAAACAAGTGTTGTGTGAATTACTCTATTGAAGGTCACCTGGGCAGGGCCGTCGTGGGATTATTGAGCAATGCTGTCATATCACAGTACGTAGTGGCATGCGTCGTCACTTTGGAGTTGAAGTCTGGTTGCCCATTTCTTTAGCATCGTGCTGTCTGTCACTTGGTGCAGATTCTGGTTTATTCTTGTCTTTGAACCTCCGTGTTGGGCATGCGGTGACTGCTGTCTTTGCATCTTGAGGCACAACTGGTTCGTTCACTTGTTTGTCCATGCTCCTGCGTGGGTTGCATGTCTCGTTATTGTACTGATACACTAATCTTCACATCCAGCAATACTAAGAACTTGGGCACGAACAATGTACTTCAGTTGCATCCCTAGAGGGGCACCAGGTAGCGATTGCCTGTCCCATTCACGAGGGCGGTCGTGTAATAAACGAACAGCGTGATATTTAACACGGGGACACAAAAGAGGAGACCAGCTTGGCGCTTGTCTGCGTCTCCTCTTTTGTGTCCCAGTGTAGAGAAATCGCGCTGTTCGCACTTCCTAATGCGAAACAACTAGCCCATAGCTTCACGATGTCAACCCCTGTTTTGAGGTAGTGGTGTCTGTACACAATCCTCGTTTTTCTTGCATCGAATTTTTCTAAAATGGTTCAGCTAAATATAAGCTGCGCGGTAATTTCTCATATATGTTAACAGCACGGTTAATGGACGAAGGGGATGCACGACGCAGCGTCGACTTCCATGCTAATTTAAAATTTGGGATGGTAGTCTACGCTGTGTTGTGTCCCCCCTTTCTCGTAGGCGTTTGTTGTGCTGGTGGCGAACTCACTTGGACATAGCCATCTGTTGCGCATGGCGCTTTTTTTTTAAGCGTTGAGAGGGCAGCACCCCGATCGGTGGAAGACCACTCGTTTTGGAGGCCGCCAGTATCGTGTCAACACTCTTATCTCTTGAGGTCTGCTCGTATGCAGTGTGTACCGGTTCACGCAAGCCTATCGCCCGCCCCAGCCTCTGCAGCGTTCGTGAGGTCGGAGAGGGACGGCGCGATAGGTCCCGAAGTAGTTGTACTACTTCTCCGTCATGTGATACGCCATATGGCGAAGCGCCGAGCTGCTCGAGCGATCTGTTGCATATTCTCAAGAGAACACTTATCTTCGGCGTCAGACACTGAGTGAGCATAGAATAGCTGAGTTTGCGGTATCTGGGTATAAATATTGCCTTGCCCTTTAGTGTTCGCACTACCAGAGTCCTTGCACTACCTAAATTGGCTAACCTTGGAAGAAGCACGCTTCGCAGGTAAACATGCGTATATTTCATACCTGGATTACACACTTGATAGTATTCCGGGCTCTTTGGGTGAAGCGCAGCTTGCACTTAATGTTCAATGGCTATGAAATGCCGCTCGGCAACATTCGGTCCAGCACCTTTCACTCCACTAAATAACTATGTGCGCAGGTAACTTATATGGTTTTGCCCTCAGTATGTTGACAACATTGAATCTTTTTTCCCGTGCTCCTTTGCCCTTTGCGCGGCGAGTTCAGTTTGTTTTGATGGTTTTCACCAGTTTTCACAAATCGAAGTTTCAAAGTGAAACGTCTCCTTACTGAGGCGGCTATATAATCTGGTGGAGTTGACTCGGCCAATCCTTATGCGCGATCTATGTCTGTTAGCGTGCCGATGTGATATATGTAATGCGGACCGATTTTGCGGAGAAGGCGCAAACGTCACAGCTAGCGTCCCCAGCAGCTAAGCAACTTGACCTGCACAGGCTACCGATTGAATTTACATTTCTTCTACAATAGCTTTGCGCCCGATCTTTATATGCTGTGCGCTGAATATTTGTGATGCAGTGGCTGTGAACTATCGGCGCCAAAATGACCTACTTGAGAAAAGTACCTGCTACCACTGTGCTAAAGCATTTCGGCCCTCGGTTACTCGGGGCAAGATTCAGATCGTCAAACATAGCGAGTGCTGTGCCTTACGAAACTCTTGAAAACAAGGAAGTGGAGACTCCTACCGCACTGCCTTCGTCAGCGGACGTCGTCATTATTGGTAAGGCGTTACCACACATTTTCACACGTTTCGTGCAAGTAAGGCGCGCAAATGTTTCAGATATGCGGATTCGGGGCTCAAGGACTATCTTTAATCGCCGTCGCTTCTTTTTAAATGAATGAAATGACTTGCAGTGTCACCGCATAATTGTCAGGGTACTTGTATTTAATGATGTGGATTAAAAAATATATCTATTTTTATGTGACCATGATGTGACCACTTCGCTTTGAAAAGCCAGCAAAGGTGTTCGGCCTGTTACGGAGTTTAACGTGGTTTAGCTGGTTTATTTGCCTAAATCAGGCTGTCTGAAATGAAATTAAAGGCCGGGTGCTCATGCATTTTCCACATGACACTAAATGCCTGTAACTATACATGCATAAATGTATCGTTTAGAGCGCATCCATCTTTTGGAGGTGTTTGATGAAGTTACATATGTGATTACCAATTTTATGGTGGATGTGTGATTGACTATATGTGCAAAACGTTATGATAATCATTACAAAGAGTAGTGCATGCCCAGTGACCTCAGCTGCATGAATTCAAAACAGTTTAATCCAGAAACAGGTGATTCGCTGCCATTGGTCATTTACAGAAGCCTCCATAAATCAGTGAAATATTCTAGAAATGCCAATTGTATTGTAGTTTGGCAACTTTTAATACGAGAAAAATTATGCAACCAGTATGCACAGGGCAAGGAGTGCACATGTGAGGCATTTCCTTTTTTTTTTAATAAGTGCAACTCAGGGAAACGCAGCCGTTTGTTACTGTTGGTGTGATCTAAACTGCTGCAACAATTTTTCGTCAGTGTGGTTATGTCACAAAAATAGCTCAAACCTATGTTGAAGTTAAAATGTGCCTAGCCCACTATTGCCGGTATTCAAGAGGAAAGTTTTGATTTGGCACTCTTTCAGTAACTGTCCCATTTTGATTAGAAAAATTTTTTTCAGCGTGAATTGGATATTCACAAAAAGTGTAAATGGTGGTGCTTGAAAGATATCGTAATTGTTTGCGACAAAGTTAACATCATCAATGTGCTTTTATCAGTACCATTCTCTGTTGCATGGGCAGATTCGTGATGATTAGATTTGTTGAGCATGCGGTTCTTCCTGGCAACAAGCACACCTGCTTTGATAGTTTGAAGGCTTTTCTGGTTCTTGCCATTTATTGAAAGCTTCTCAAAGGTAGCTTCAGCTCTTCTGAGCTTCTTCGTAGCTGAATTTATGCATAGTCATATAAGATCACTTTTTCTTCGAGAAAAAGATTAGTCCCCAATGTCTTTGTTGCTGTTGTCTTCCATTTCAAATATACTGTCTTGGAGCGAAATACTGACTCAATATCGTAGCATGAAACTTGAGGAGGAAGACTAAAAGGCAAACAGGAACAGAAAAGATTGTCTCCTAGTCTTCCTGCCAAGTCGTTTCTGTAAGTACCAGCTCACCCAAGATAAAGTTATTGGGGAGAGAAAACAACAGCAAAGCAATCAGGTCACAGATGAAGCAGATTAAATGCGATCATATTGGTTGTTCTGGTCACAAGGTGTTGATGCAGCAATCTTTCAATGTATCTGGCTCAGTTGTAGTCTAGCAGTTGTAGCGTTCGGCTCATTTTGGGTTCGAAACTGTTTTTTTTTTTTTTTTGTGTCTCCACATTGCAATCAGGAATGAACCCACTTTTATTAGGAATGTTTCTAAAATGAAAGCTTTATGTGCCTGTGAAATGTAGCCCAATATCAGGTTTTGAGGTTGGCTCTCTTAGAAAGAAAAACCCTTCATATATGTCCATCTTGGATATCTTAAGTTGTGAAAAGGACTTTTTTGTTAAATTGGTTCTTATATTGCCATCTTAAATTAGTTCTTACATAACTATATCTTACATTACTAATTAAATTGGTGCTGATATTATTATATCTTACATTACTAATTGGTGCTTACATTACAATGTTGCAAGTTTATCATACAGCAGACAAAGTTTTTTAGGTACACTTCACTGTGGTGCAAAGTACATTTTGTGAGAAAGGGAAGAACAAAGGAAAAAGTGAAGTGCCGACTACCAACTATTTATTGACACTCCAAGAAAAGGACAGGAAAAAGGACACTTTTCGTGATATAAACTGCTAGAGAGTTGTTGGAAAGCCTTCTGTGTCATAACGAAAGGGTCTGATTGTGTGAAGAATTGAACCTCTTTCTTAATATATATGTCTTCATTGAACTTCATTCTGCTGTGTATTGATGCATTGATCACTTTGCTCAAAGTTGTTTGACGTGCCACTTCCCACTAGCCATACCAGAAGTGTATTGTTTGCTCAATATGAATATTACTGAAACTATGTACTCTTCAGAAATGCGTTTTCTTGATAACATGTTTTCTTGACAATGTCGCTTGACATCATACATTGGTTCTTTAAGAATGCACGGCAGAGTGAAGTGCACCTAGCAAATATCTTCTGAAAGCGGCAACAGCATATGCATTTGTCGTTATGATTTTGGCACGTGAAACACCACTATCAAATATTTAATTTATTTCAAATTTGTGCATACCAAGCTAAATAACTGCATAGCCATTTAAGATTCTGGCTGTAACAAACTCAGCATTCAAGTGCACTGATAATGTTCTGCTCACTTACATGTAAATGGTATCTTCCTTTTTGTGCGTGCTTAGGCGGTGGCATCATTGGCTGTAGTACACTCTATCACCTCACCAAGCTGGGCTGCAGTAATGTTGTACTGCTAGAGAAGGACCATTTGACTGCAGGAACAACATGGCACACAGCAGGTTCGTTTGTCTTTGCCTTTGGAAATGTTAACTCTTCAAGGCACTTTGTACACATTTGTGTACACATCTGGTTTCTGCTTGTTGTTAAATAAAGCAAGGTACATTGAGCTTTGGAAAAATTGAACCTCTTTCTTAACATATGTGTCTTCATTTAACTTCATTCTGCTGTGTATTGATGCATTGATCACTTTGCTCAAAGTTGTTTGACGTGACACTTTCCACAAGCAGAGGTGTATTGTTTGCTCAAAATGAATATTACTGAAAACAACGTTGCACTATACTTCTAGCCTAAGATATCATTTGATTATAGTAAAATTAGAACATGTATGACATCAGGATAAATACATCTTTAAGTACAATTCAATGAAGATTAACTTCCGAAGAGCACACTAGTAAGTGTTTATGACATTATTTTTGTTGCAATATACAACGCCTTGAAATTATGTTCTGTGAGTTTGATGCATTTACCGACAGTCCTTTATAAGTCATGCAAGAAAGGGTTAAAGGACACCTTGCTGAGCTACAGTGAATGTTTTCGTTGCGAGCTGTCCTCCAGGGATGGTTCTACCACAAACATTTAAAAAAACAGATTTAGGTACATGTGTTGAAAATTGGGCAACTTGGTCCGTCGTACTTAAACTGTTATAATGAATTACGAGAAGAAAAAAGAAACTGCTGAGCAGACCAACACAATAGGACAGAGCGCTCTGTCCTCTTGTGTCACTCTGCTCGACCATTTTTCTTTCTCGTAATGCTCTATACCAGTTCAATTTAGCTACATGAAGGGGAGACAGAAGCCAATTTAAATGTTTCAAGTTTATCATGTTAGGAGCTTGACTACTTTGCCCAAAGCAGACTTTGTCTACCGGCGTTTTTAAGCTCATTCTTTCTTTGTCTTTTCATTATTTTGTCTGATATGAGGGCTGATGGGACATTTTCATTTCAACCCTCACCTGCGTTCACCTATCTTTTCTTTTATAATGGCACAGGGCATTTCTTGTGATTCTTTTTTTTTTGCACACCCTGCTCTTAGTGGGAATTTCTGAATATCTGTAGGTAAAGTTGTGATAGAAATATTTTATTGCCTTCATTGTATTGAAGTACCAAATGATGAACCTGCTACACAAATAAAGCTTGTATTGGTCTATTCTATCATGTGATAGACCTGACAGCCTATGTTAGTTTATTAGACTTCAGCCAGATAGACCATGTACACTAATAAAACTGATAGACTTTACCAGTCTATAGAATTATAAAGCAGTCAGCCTTATACACCGAACCTGTATAGGTATGTACAGTATCATAAGCATGCATATGCGTAGTTTTGAGCCCTGTGTACAAAAGCAGTTCACAGCCACACAGTGAGCAACAGGGCATTATGCTCTGTTGTATGGCAATTTTCATATATTTTGTTCATGTGATTTTTTTGGCTTACTTATATGTGTTGAAAATATTTTCAGCTGTCACTTATTGCCACGTAATTGGCCTCCTGGGCCCCAGTCAAGCTCCTTGAATACAGCTTTTAGTCAGACTGTCTAATATTTCGTTAATTTTGAAAATAAAGAGAATGAATGATTGTAGAAATATGATTCAGAAGCTCTAAGTCATGTGAACATTAGGAGCACAAAGTAAAGTAATTAAATGTGCACACAGTGCACCAGCACAATAGTAGCATGAGC